AGTGTAATCACACTATTAGTTGTTGTTGTAGAATTGGAATGAATTGATTTCACTGAAACTGTTACAATTGTATAGTTGCGAGACAGGCTTTTAATTTGAGAGAGGAGGGAAGGTCTTGAGCAAACCAAATTGATGCCATTTTGGGGCTGCCCAAAACACACAATTCTGGGTTAACTCTAACCTCTACTAGGGTCAGATCCGACCTGGTAAACGAAGTGAGTCGGGTCTGTCAAACCTAACACTACTTTTTCAATTGTATCACCTTTGTTGGGCCTTTTCTTTTCGCGTTTTTGTGACAATTTCTTTGTTTTATTTTGAGATCTACACAACGAGACTATTTTTATTGTCTAAAACACAAGTTTTCCATAATCCAATCTCAAAATCTAGAAACCATTTTGACGTAAGTCATTGTTTCTATCTTTTTGGAACGTTTTCACAGCATTTTTGGGTTCAAAAAGTCATGCTTTCTGTCTATGGATACTTTATATAATATATATATATATATATATATATATAACATCATAAAAAACGTGAAAGGATAAACAAGAAAACTGAAAACATAGAGGAGCAAAATAACGCGGAATGACGCCGTAATTAAAAAACTTAATAGGAGAAAAATAAAATTAAAGTAATTAAAGAGATTGATTTGCATATATTTAGGAAGCAAATCACATCAACAGTTACCGAATAGAAACAAGAAACAAATAATATAAGAAGTAGGAAAACCACATGCTCTAATATCATTGAAGGATTTCGGCTGATGAGTAATCTGGTATGCCTATGTGATATAGAATCACAGGATGAGCATTACATTGTTATACAACAAATGTCATCGGATGGAAGAGAGGAGGAGCATTTTGAGAGAGAAGTTGTACGGGGGTATTCCTCTGTTTCTCCAAAACTAGCTCCCTCAAGCATATGTACTCCCATATCTCACGTATAGGTTGTTCTTAGGATTTGAATTTTAAAATACAAAGGTAATATTCCCTCTATATCATCTTTTTTCATTTTTCTGCTAAGTACAAGTGTCCTCCTATTGGAAGTAATCTTTTTTGAGGCACTATCAGGTACCTTCCCAAATAGGAATTTAAATCCTAATTTATCATGTTGTGAGATACTAGCTTCTTTCATTAGACTCAACTTTTATTGGTTGGGTAGAGGCTTTATATCAGAGCCTAAATGTGAATAATAAAAAGCTTAGGTTGTTAACTATAATATTCACCATGTTATTCAAATTTGCATGGTAGGAATGGTCGAGATAGGGGGTTACAAGTGGAGAGAATTTAGGAGAAAATTGAACGCAATTTGCTTGATAATACATCATGGAGATGCTCTTCATTTAGTTTCGGTTGGAAAAAAACTCTCTTCCCCTTTCACTGTATTTGCTGTATAACCAATATCCGACTCAGATCATGCGTGAAGAACTTACTAAAATCTTAGATATGCCCGAAAACTTAAAGGGCAATGATTAAAAGCCATTTCGAAGAAAGTGAGAGCACCCAAAATTTCATTCATGACTACTTGTGGATGCCAGGATCTGTTATGATGAACAGCCAGGTTCCTTTTTACGTCAAATAGTGTTGACCAGCAATAATGATACCTTTAGGCAGAGAAGAATGGCCATCAAAGTAAAGCTGAGATATAAGGCCTTCAAGCCACAGTAATATCTGAAAGGAGTTAGAATGTGGCGGCTTAATTGAAAAATGGAAAAATGACACAAAATGACACTCTAACTTGAAAATGTTCAAATAGTCATTTGAGTTTGCAAAATGCTAATTTAGGCACAAGTGACCAATTTGACATTTATAAATTTGTTGAAATGACCATATTGCCCTTTATTTTATTTATTGTTTTTTAAAACCCAAATGCCCCACTGGCTGGTTGGGCGCCAACGTCATTGGAGCTCTTGTAGCCGTTGCCAATTGGTTGTCAGAGCTCTAACGGCCAGCAACAATTTTTTTGAAAATTTTTACAATTTCAGTAAAACAGTTAACAAGTTTTGTAATGCTATTAACAAGTTCAGTATAGCAGTTAACAACAGGTTTTTCAGAAAATTTAAAAAACAGCATTTTTACAACTTTAGTAATGCCGTTAATAATTTTCGTAACTCTGTTAACAACTGCGGTATGACATTTAACAATAAGTTTTTAAAAAAAATAAAAAAGTAGCGTTTTTACAACTTCAATAATGCCATTAACAAGTTCCGTAACTCTATTAACAAGTTCGATATAGCACACAAGTTTTCTGAAAAATACAAAAAGTGGTATTTTATGACTTTGGTAACACAGTTAACAAGTCATATAACGATATTAACAACTCTCATAAAGATTGATGTTTTGATATTAGCTTCCTAAGAAAGTTGTACAACAAGATTTTTTCACTTATTAGGCAGTCATTATGGTCATGATAGTTGTTAATACCGTTACATGATTTGTTAACCACGTTATTAAAGTTGTAAAAATACCACTTTTTGAATTTTTCAGAAAACCTGTTGTTAAATGCTATGCCAAACTTGTTAATAGAGTTATGAAACTTGTTAACGGTATTACTAAAGTTGTAAACATGCTACTTTTTGAATTTTCTGAAAAATCTATTATTAAATGCTATATCATAGTTGTTAATACACTACAAAAAAATGCATTTTCTAGCGGTTAAATTATGACGTTTCTAGCGGTTTTAACCATAACAAACAACATTTGTAGCAGTTAGAAAAACCGCTAGAAAATCAAGTGTAAGAAACAGTTTTCTAGCAGTTAAGAGAACCGCTATATAGTATAGTCAAAACCTCAGAAAATTTCTAGCGATTACATTAATTGCTAGAAGAAAAAACAGGTGCAGGAGAATTCGATGACATTTGTAGTAGTTTAAAACTGCCAGAAATTTTTAAAATATTTGTATTTGTGCACAAAATTTTATTTTTTCGGGAAACAAAATTTTCAAATTGGTGCCAAAATTTTCTAGCGGTTATTAATTACTAGAAATTTGGCACCAGGTAGAACCAAATTTAAATTTTACGAAAATTTTTCCCTTTTTTAGATTTTTCTAGCAGTTTTTGAACCACTACAAAATTCATTCCAAGCAAAAAAAAATTCAAAATTTTCATTATTATAAAATATAATATTATTGATTAAAAAACCATTAAATAGATTATATTAGAGAATTATGTTAATATGTGTATTTACCAATGTATTACATGTTATATATTTAAATTTTGTGATAAATAATAAGTAATTAAATTATGATTGTGTTAAATGAATTGAATTGAATTGAATTTGATTTAATAAGATAGTTGAATTGGAGATGAGATAGTTTGTAGTGTTGAACCTTGACTCTTATGTTGAAAAGTGGTTGAATTAGTCGAGGAGGGCATGACAAATATAAAGAAGAAAAATCTGAAAGAAAAAGATAAATAAATATATTAATAAATTATAAATAAAGATAAATAAAACAAATTAAGATTTATAAAATGAATATCATCTTACCATATAAATAAGAGGGAAAAACTACCATATGAGAGAGCAAGAAGAAAAGAGAGAATTATAAAGAAGAAGAGGAGAGGAAGGAAAAGAAATAGAGTAAATGAATGAGGAGGTGAGATAATATTTATAGAGACCAGCGATAATTTTCTAGTAGTTGTTTATTATTTGCAGTGGTTTTATGAATTTTCTAGCGGTTTTGTTTGCAAAGCAGTTTCTAGCGGTTCTGTGACCGCTACAAATTGCAATCTTTTTATTTTTAAAAAATTGAACCAATTTTAATTTATACATATTTATTTATAAAAAACAAATTATTACATGAATGATAAATTTTTTTGAAACTACTGTTCTTGATCATCATCATGCCTGAAAGGAGATATTAAAAAAATTATTGTTAGAATTATAATATATTTAAAAAAATTAGTAATTAGTAGTTAATTATTTAAATAATTTAAAAAAAGACATATACTTGATAATGACCAACTTTTTCTAACAGTTTTAAACCGCTAGAAATTTCTAGCATTTATAAACATTTTCTAGCAGTTTAAACAACTAGAAATTTGAATTCCAAAGTCAATAGGTAACGGTCTGAATTTTCTAGCAGTTAATAACCACTAGCAATGTTCAGGTCTGAAGGAAATTTGAATTTCAAAGTAAGAGAGTAACAGTAAGAATTTTTTAGCGGTTAATAACCGATAGAAATGTTCAGGTTTGAGGGATATTTGAATTTCAAAGTAAGAAGGCAACGGTAAGAATTTTTTGGCGGTTAATAACCGCGAGAAATTTTCAGCTAGAAGGGAAATCTGAATTTGAAATTTTAAAATTTCTTGCAACATCTATAGCGGTTTGTAACCACTACAAATTTCATCTGCAAATAAAAAAAATTAAATGGTAACAAATAAAAAAAAAGGAATAGGTGAGGGGCAGAAGTAGCATCATCCTGATTGTCATTTTGTGGATCCTCCTGCTAATTCTGTTGGGGTTGGGAAGGCTGCTGGTCATGCTGGGGCAGGGCTGGCTGCTAGTCATCCACCGCTAATGCCAGGCGTATGTCAGGGAACTTAGGAAATAGGATGTTTGGAGCGAAACTGATCATCATATCACCCATGGCCATAGCGGCTGCTTTGAACTGGTCAAGCTGTAATTGCAAATAACGATCATGCTCTTCCATCTTGGCCTCCATCGTGGCCTCTACCTCTCACCCGCACTCCTCTCGCAGCTCACCTGAGGATGAGGAACTCGGCCATTTCACTCCTATGCTCATTTGATGGGACGCCGCTGCTAACGGTTTGAAGGGCCAGCGCCACCTGAGCGGGCAGCCTACTCGGTATGGGTCCAAGACCGAACCCGCTAACTCGGTCGAGGTGCTGTATTCAGCCACAACCTGCTAAAAGTGAGGCGATGGGATCCAAGACAGACCCCTGAGACTCCCGCAGCTACGTCTCGACCTGAGTCATCCACGCCTATCAAGATTAATATAAAAATATTAGTATTGAATATTTATACTGTGATATTAATATTTAATTAATTAATTACTTACTACCATCTCATCAACTTCATCCGACACAGGAGACCCGTCTCGAGGCTTGTACAAATAAGGCCACATCTTGCTATAGGTAGGCGTCTATCCCCGCTCTTGCCGCATCTTTTCCTTCTATAAATGAAATGAAAAAAATTATTATTTAAAAACTAAATACATATACACAACATATAAATTCTTTTTATGTACTTACAATCCCATCGTAGGCAACAACAAAGCTCCTCAATCTAGCCCTATGGCGCATTGAAATGAAAACAATGCAACGATGATTTAAATTCTCTAGCGGTTCAAGCAACAAAATCGCTAGAAATTAAATGCTGGAAATATGGGGCCAATTTCACGCCAAATGGCGCCAACAATTGTGGCGGTAATTTTCTAGCGGTTGGGTCAAAACCACTAAAAATATGTGGGGTCCACACCCTTTATGGTCAAAATGCTGCAGATTTCTTGCGGTTTGTGTTATAACTGCTAGAAATGTTTATTTTTGTAGCAGTTTTTTTCAATCGCTAGAAAGTGACCGCTGGTAATTTACTAGTTTTTTTGTAGTGATAGAATCACAGAACTTATTAATGGCATTATTGAAATTGTAAAGTTGCTACTTTTTAAATTTTCTGGAAAATTTCTTGTTAACTTCTATACTAGACTTATTGATAGCGTTACAGAACTTGTTAACCCCTTTACTAAAATTGCAAAAATGTTTAAAAAAATTGTTGCCGGCCGCCGGGGCTCTAGTGATCGGCCAGCCAGTGGGAGCATTTGGTTTTTTAAAAAAAATAAATAAAATAAAGGGTAATATGGTCATTTCAACAAATTTATAAATGTCAAATTGGTCTCTTGTGTCTAAATTAGAATTTTACAAATTCAAGTGACCATTTTGACATTTCTAAATTCAAATGTCATTTTTGTGTCATGTTTCCTTGAAAAATATCCAAACCATATGGCATGAGAAAATTGAACTTGGAAGAATGTGTGGTATATGGTAGGTGAAAGGGTTCTCTCCTTTTTCCTCTTGTCCTCTTCTCTCCTCGTCCTTAGATTGACACATTCAACAGTTCAAATTTTAATATTTTTAAAACTTATGAAATATTTTTAAAAGTCTTTAGTGCATTTGTTTACTATTGAAATTAAATTTTAGTACTTTGTATTTTATTATTTTATTATTTATTTATTTCTATAATTTAATGTTTTAATTATAAGTTTAAAAGTGTTAAAATTTGAACAGATGTAAAGGCTAAAAAATAAAGAGGAAGAAAGAGGATGCTAAGGCCTTTTTCCTGCCTCTGCTACCTCATGTGCTTGTGTACTCTTGGCCTCACCACCACTTTAATTAAATCGCTCTTCATTTATTTAATTTAATTTCATTTGATTTATTCAAAATTTTGAGATTATATTGCAAATCTCATAGAAATCAAGTTCCTGCTCTAATTGTACAACAATATTGATTCACACTTAAACATTTTTTTAGCAAACCTCAATATTTAATTTCAATCATGTATTCAAAATTTCAATACGAAATAATGTTTGGATGCAAATTCTACCTTGTCGATATATCAAAATGTCATCTATTGTCAAGTTGAATGAAAGAAACACAACACCCTCATAATGAAAGAGGAATCTGTCCATTTCCATTTCCCTCTGTTTTCTTCCACTTTCCATCTCAAATCTTAATCATATGTTGTGATTTTAACAATCCAGATTTCATCTTTTATAAATTTATGAAATTATGAAGAGTTAAGGTGCATGTAGCATTTGTTCATCCAAGCACTAGATAATATTCCTTTACAATCACATGTAGCATTTGTTCACCCAAGCACTACAAAATGTGTACTACAAAATAATTTTTTTTATAGTAGTGGCACAACACCCCAAAAATATTTTCTTAAGTACATACAGCACTCTAAAGTATTTTATGGTGCTTCCAGTATTATAAAGTATTTTTTTCAGTGCGTCTAGCATATTGACATATTTTTTGATATATCTAGCACCTTTAACTTTTTTTTTTGGTACGCCCAACACTCAAAAATATTTTCTGGTACATCTAGCACCAAGGCAAAAAAAAAAGAAGTATTTTAGGGTGCTGGATGTATTTACAAAATAATGAGATTTGGATACACCACAAAATACTTTAGGCTACTTGATGTACCTGAAAAAATATTTTGAGGTGCTTGATGCATTTTAACCTAATTATGAATAAAATGTCAATTTTTTTAAAAATAAATAAAATTAAACTATTAAATTTTAGTTGTGATCATTTAAACAATAATGCCAAAATAGGTTAAAGTATACATTTTTTCTTTTAACTTATACATTGTTTTAATTTAGTCTCTTAACTTCTAAAAAGCATATATTTAGTCTTTTAACCCTAAAATAGTTAGATTTAATGATGATTTTTTTGTAAAAATTATAGTTGTTTTAAAAATTAAGCTTAATATATAAGCATTTGAGAATGCTATATTAACATTTAAGATCTCAAAATCATCATTCTTTTTATTTTGAAAAAAATAAATAAATATAAGAGATAAAGTTGTTCAAATCATATGCATATAGTCATTTTGAAAGCAGTATTTTATGTAAAAGCTTATAATTACCATTGTTGGCTTATACATTAGGGAAAATTTCATTTAAGGACCATAGTTGATAATTTATATCAAACATCCCCCAAAATATTCTGCAATATTACTGTAGGACAAAAGGACCAAACTGAAATTAAAATTAAGGGTAAGATTATAATAATACCCCTCACTTTTATTTTTTAAAAAATAAATATTGATGGTCACCGGAGTTCCCGCCATCGACGCTTAGGTGGCCGCTGCCAGAGGTTGGAGCTTTGGTGGCCTCTACTATAGCTTCGGTGGCCGGAAGATTTTTTTTTTATTAAAAAAAAAGGTGGCTAGGGAAGGTTTGAACCCATGACCTCTTGGCACACCAAAATGATGTAACCACCAAGAAAAGCAAGCTATTTAATCATGTGACACAAATAAAAATATATATAACAAAACAAACGCAAGTGCCTAAGTATAAATGAACAAGTGAAATTCGACAGTTTACAAATGAAATTCAGCAATTTACAACAAAAATTTGACAATTTACAAATAACATAATAGAATTCACAACTCCAAATGTAAATGTTTAAATACAAATGAGCAAGTAAAATTTGAAGATTTACAACAAAAATTTATGGATTTACAACCCAAATTTGGCTATTCACAAGAAACACAAGAGAATTTACAACCCAAAATGTAAGTGTTTGAGTATAAATGAACAAGTGAAATTCAACAATTTACAAGTAAAATTCAGTAATTTATAATAAAAATTTGGCAATTTACAAATAACATAATGGAATTCACAACCCCAAATATAAGTGTTTAAGTGTAAATGAGTAAGTGAAATTTGAAGATTTACAACAAAAGTTTATGAATTTACATGTAAAATTTGACAATTTATAAGTGAAATTCAGTAATTACAACAAAAATTTGACAATTTACAAATAACATAATGGAATTCAAAATTTCAAATGCAAGTGTTTAATTGTAAATGAGCAAGTGAAATTTGAAGATTTACAACAAAAGTTTATGGATTTACAAGTGAAATTTATATTTACAACAAAAATTTCATTTGCTCATTTACACTTAAACACTTGTATTTGGGGTTGTGAATTCCATTATGTTATTTGTAAATTGCCAAATTTTGGTTGTAAATTGCTGAATTTCACTTGTAAATTGTCGAATTTCATTTGTTCACTTACACTCAAACACTTATATTTTGAGTTGTGAATTCTCTTGTGTTTCTTGTAAATAGCCAAATTTGGGTTGTAAATCCATAAATTTTTGTTATAAATCTTTAAATTTCACTTGCTCATTTGCATTTAAACACTTGTATTTAGAGTTGTGAATTCTATCATGTTATTTGTAAATTACCAATTTTTTTTATAAATTGCTGAATTTATTTGTAAATTGTTGAATTTCTTGTTCACTTATACTTGGACACTATATATATATATTGTCAGGCATTATCTATATCGTTTAAATTTCAAAATCGTGAAACCACTGCTCACTGAACCCTATATATATGTCCATTATTGCAGTCTATCTTCTTCACAAAGAAATCACCACATAACTTAGCTCCCAAAAATGACTCCCCTCAAAAGCCTTTGTGTGTTCTCCCTCCTTCTGGCTCTTAGCTTCACTTTTGCTCAGGCCGCCAGGTTTGATATCACAAACAGATGCCCCTACACTGTGTGGCCAGCAGCCTTGCCCACCGGTGGCGGCCGACCACTGAATTCTGGTCAGACATGGTCCCTCGATGTGCCCGCCGGCACCACCAGCGGTCGCATATGGGGTCGAACCGGCTGCAACTTTGACGGGTCGGGTCGTGGCCGTTGCAGCACTGGTGATTGTGGCGGTGTGCTCCAATGCCGCCTCTCTGGAGCAAAACCAACCACACTTGCAGAATTCTCTCTGAACCAACCCAATAATTTGGACTTTTACGATATCTCAGTGATCGATGGTTTTAATGTTCCCATGAAGCTTAGTCCAACTTCTAGTGGATGTAGAAGTCTTCAATGCCCTGCTGATAGGTGCCCTGATGCTTACTTTTCCCTGAAGACAATACTAAAACTCACAGTTGCCAATCAGGAGCTAACTATGGGGTTGTCTTTTGCCCTTGAAGAAGTTAGTAAATGGCTTCATGTGTTCTTATTTCTCCAAATAAAGAACCATGCAGCATGTAATAAGAAGCCATTCTCAGCACATCTACTTTATGTATGCGCTTCTCTTTGGTGGGAAATAAATAAAGTCTCAATTATGATTATTATGTACTTTGATGGATCTCTCACTTTTTTTTTTTTTTTAAATTAAGAGCACATGACGCTTTGGTCCCATGGAAACTATTACCTTCGCTCTTAAAAATAAGAACTGGATAAAATATTTATTGATTTTAAATATATATAAAACTTTAATTTACTTTGTATTTCAAAATTTAAGATTATTTTAAAGTATCATTGTTAATAGCAGATATGAAGGAAATTTTTATCAAAACTAGTTTCAATTTACATTACTAAATATGATATTTAAGGGAAATCACCATAGATCTGTTGCAAATAATTAATTTCAATACTTTTCTTAATATTTGCAAATTATTTATCTAATTCTTATATTAAAAATTAGAGATAATACTTCTATATTATATAATGACTACTACTTCCAGTCCCTAATATAAGAGCTAGTTGACTAATTTGTATAGATTAAGAAAATTTTTTAAGTTACTTATTGTTTATAATAAATATATGTTATCTTCCTTAAAATATTCTTACTAATCATATATATTAGTTATAACTACTATAGAAACCTTTATTATATGTAACGACTACAAGATACTTTGAAAAAAAATAAATATAAGAAATAAAATAGACTAAGATTTTATATTTATGATCAAATTAAATATCAAACTAGTTTTTATACTAAGGATACGATATAGTATTAAATTGATCTTCTAAAACCCAAATATATCTCTTTCTTCCACATTTTGTTTTGCATTCAAGATAGCTTCGTTGACCTCACGACTGGCTTGGCTTTTTCATAGTCATTGATCAACTCTTTTACAGCTTTGGGTCTTTAAGCCACGTTAAAGTTCGACGCACCGACAAGAAAAAGTCGTTACCCACTCTTCTCTGGTCCGTCTCTCTGGTGAAATTCGAGCTCGTTAATTTAACTAACAGCTAATTACAATTAAAGACACTTTTCATTTTAACTCCAAAGAAAATAATTAATTTAGATTTCCGTAAGTAAGTTTTGTTTTAGGCCCTCATCTCATTCAAACTTTTTATTTTTGGCTAACTAAACAAGACTCATAGGTTTATACTACCTTTAACCCTTAATATAAGACCCAGTTAACTAATTTGAAAAAATTAAGAAAGTTATTAAATTATTTTAAAGTATTTATATTCATCAGTTTTCTCCAAATTAACTAATTTGTTTCACTTATAAATTGATATGTAATCTAATAATATTAATTTAGAGATGTCATATAATATAAATTATAATTAAGTAATTTAGTAACTTTCTAAATTTCTTAACAAATTAGTCAACTAAGTAATATATTAAAAATCAGAGTCAGTAACACATAACAGAACATTTAAATACATATTTGATAATAAGTTTAGATATATTGGGCCAGTAAATTTATTTTGTGACTTTTCTTTTTTGCATCAAATTATTTGAAGTGGAGAGCTGAAGATTATTCAACTATTCTAGATTTTTTGCCTTGTTTTCGTCCTTTCTCATAGCAGTGCAGCGAGTACATTTATTTCGTGACTTTTTGCATCAAATTATTTGAAGTGGATAACTGAAGCTTATTCAACTATTCTAGATTTTTTGCCTTGTTTTCGTCCTTTCTCATAGCAGTGCAGCGAGTACATTTATTTCGTGACTTTTCTTTTTTGCATCGAATTATTTGAAGTGGATAACCGAAGCTTATTCAACTATTCTAGATCTTTTGCCTTGTTTCTCCTAGCAGCGCAGCCGACATACATAGAATCTGGAAAGCATATGCTTCCGTATTTGTTGACTTTATTATCATTACATTTAAAGATAGTGACGTCATAAATCTTGCATATCGGTGGTTATGTTATAGTTACAGTAGGCAAAACGAGCCATTGGGCCGCCCGTTTAAACCTGTTTAAATTAGGAACCAGGCTTATAATTTGGAGTCTTTAAAAGAAACTTAGATTTAAAAGGGACAACTCTGTAGGACTTGAAAATAAAAAGGCCGGCCCGAAGCCTATTTAAGCCCTCCAACAATTTTTTTTAATTTATATTTTTTTCTTAATCCTAATCTAAGTTCTTAACATTTTACATACTCTTCCTCTCTAAGTTTTACTTTCAGTTTTTCACTTACTCTTAGCTCACACCTCAATCTCTAATGATATTAGAATAAATAAAAATATATTCTCCATATCTTAAATTAGATTTCAAATTTGTATTTATTTAAACCAACAGTTATATATTAAAATAAACAAAATATATTCCCCATATTAAAACAAAAATTTTACTGATTGAACCAACATATATATATCAATTTGTATATATGTTATAAAATTTTAATAAATAAGTTAACACTTTTTCTATAATAACTATATCATAATTTTTACTGTATATTTAAATAGAGTTAGATAAGCGAGCTAAACAAAACCAAAGAAGACCATCCTAAACAAAAGTGAAAAAAGGATGACATAGTTAGCTCATTAAAAGTGTACTATGGATCAATCCAAAGTGCTAAGATATTTCAGATTTCTCATGAGATTGTGTAGCAAAGTGATTTTCATAATTAAAGCCTAAAAAATCATTGATATTTTTAGAAGTTAATTAAAAAGAACCTATTACTAGTGAAGCACAATAAAATATTCTTACAATTAATAATAGTGATGATAGTGTTTGTCCACTATTTTTTTTTTTAGTGAAAATATTTGGCTACTTTTAATGGAACTTTTGAATGTTAATGTTATTGACTTGTTATGTCTAATGAGTGTTTTAGATTTTTTGTATGTTGATAGACATTTAGATATGATGATCTTTTGTACTTGTGACTTAATTTTATTCATATTTATGTCTTTTACTAGTAATTTCATTGGTTTATTTTTATTTTTTGATAAAACATATGAAAAATAATTTTTTTTAAATGGGCCGAAAGCTCGCGGGATGACCTTGAGCCCGTCTATTTAAAGGCCAGGCCTAGTAAATTGGGGTACTTTTGAAATTTCGCTCATGTAGGGCCGGTCTTTTTAAGCCCATCAGTCTTACAGGGCTAACCCGTTTTCCCAGCTCGAGTTATAGTAGTTGCAAAGAATCAATACAATACATATACTCCTCCTGTCCTAAATATAAGACCCACTTTGTAGTATAAATTACATTAGAAAAGGGGTTTTTATACTACAAAGTGAGTCTTATATTTAGAAAATTTACTCTACTCTTATATTTAGGACTGAGGAATATAAGATTAGTTGTGTTTGGAATGTGAAAGATAAAAGCATAAACATGATATCTGAAGCAATAAATTTGAGAGTCCCTAGTTTTGATAATCTGGGGGGTGGTGACTGGTTATCTAACTTTGAGATTTCCAAAACCATTTAATAATATGATTCTGGGCAAACTCAGTAACCCAAGAAAAGTAAGCACTATATTAGAAACAAACCATATACCAAGGCTTTTTGAGTTTTAGATGAGTCTCCAAACATCCCTATGCTACAAATACAAGTGGTTAATAACTGATGTAGATTGTCCAATTTGCATGGTAAGCCAAACATATAGCAATGAACCATTTTATAAATGAAGTGTACCTTAGTTTTGATTAAAAAAAGAGAACTCAGTTGGGAATAAGAAATAGAAATAAGGAATTAGGACAAAAATCAAGAGAAGTCAAAAGTTCTAAACTTCACTATTTAAATTAAGATATATAATATTGACACAAATCTCACACTGTTCTAGACTAGAAACCATGATGCTTCAGAGAAAGAACAATACGTTTCAATATCCAACTCAATTTGGATGGCTTCTAAATCTTTTAGACTTTGATCATACTCTTTCTCAGAAGAAGTAACAACAGACATAAGCCACTTTAACTCCTTTTCATTATCAGCCAATTCCCACTTGCAGATTTGAGGGTAACTGCAAGATGTTTTTCCTGTCTTACCTTAAACCCTTTCAGGTTTGGGCTCTTTTATGTGTCTCCCTCAAATGTCCTTTGTAATGCCTCAAGCTCTGAAGAGGCACAATAGGATGCTACGTCCTCTCCAGGTTTCTTCTAGGAAGAGACGTGTGGTTTAAGGTTAGTTTTATACTACCTCCAGTTCTTAATATAAGACTTTATTTGACTTTTATTTGGATCATAAATATAAGACCCCAATCCACTTTATCTTTCATATTTATGCATTTTTTTTAAAGATAATCCTTATAATAATAGTAATTCTAGCCAATATACTTAATTAGCAAGAATAACTTAGGAGGTAGAGAAGTCTGCATCTGATATGAGGAGAGGGCATATGGTATTGCTTTAATTAGTATAGCTCTACCATCCATACTTAAATAGTTTCTTTTCCAACTAGCAAGTCTTCTATGAGTTTTTTCTAGAATGGAAGCAAACACTACATAAGATGTCCTTTTATAGATAAAGGGAATCCCTAGACACTTGCCTAAGTCTCCTATTAGCCCCACTCCCATTTGTTGGCTCATCTCTAAGGCTCTAGAAATGTGAACATTTTTAGAAAAGAAAGCCTTGGTTTTGGCCCTATTCATGCTTTGCTTAGAGGCAGAACAAAATTTGTCAATACAATCATTCATTACACCCACTTGCCAAGTTAAGGCCTCTCTAAATAGAATCAAATCTTCAGTAAAGAATAAGTGGGAAACTTTAAGGCCTTGATGATTAAGCCTAATCGATTCTTATCTACCCTCATCAACTACATCTTTGATTATATGATTAAGTCGTTCCATAAAAAGGGTAAACACATACTGAGACATGGGGTCTCCTTGTCGGATACCTCTTGAAGGCATAAATTGCTCTGAAGTTTTGCCATTCCACAATAACTAGAAGGAAGCACTCGAAATACACATCATGATTAGATTTCTTAGCTTGTCCTTTAACCCTACTACTTTCAGGGTACCATCGATGAAAGCCCATTCCAACATGTCATAGGTTTTTCCCAAGTCTACTTTGACTACTAACCATCTCCCATTCCCTGTTTTTCTTTTCATCAAATGGATGACTTCTTGAGTTATTATAATGTTGTTACTACTTTGTTGACCTGCTATGAAGCTACACTGATGATGCCCTACTATCTTTCCCATAATACTTTTCAATCTCTAGCTAATAATTTTTGTGATTACCTTATAACTCACATTACAAAGGGAAATGGGCCGAAAATCCTTCATGTTCATAGGTTTCTCCATCTTCAATGTAAGAACCATATTGGTGTGATTCAATTCTCTTACTCTAGACAGATCTTTGAATATGTCTTTCACCATATTGCACAGAGAGCCACAAACAATACTCCAATACTCATGATAAAAGAAGGTTTGGATACTATAACGCATCTTTAATTTCATTTTCATCCACTTCCTTTGTTAATAATTGCCGATTAGTCTCATTTAGAGCAAGGAACCTATTCATAATCTCAAGTATTCCCCTGCCCATCAATTCACTACTAAATAATCTTTGATAATAAGAGCTGGCCATATTTTTTAATTCTTCTTGATTAAATACCCGATCTCCTTGTATATTTTGAAGACCATCTACTTTATTTTTTCTTCTTTTGATGATAGCTGAAGTATGAAAAAATTGACTGTTTTTGTCTCCCTATTTAAGCCAATTACATCTAAATTTTTGCAATCACATCAACTCCTCTTGAGCAACAACTTGTTGTATTCCTTTCATAATTTTGTCTCAGTTTGGGCTAAATATTGGTTATCCCTCCTACTTCTAGATCTTTCGACCCCTTCTATTGGTCTCATTAGCTTTTTCTTCTTGTTTAGGGTACTTCCAATTTTGTCTCTGTTCCACTGTTAAGCATTCATTGTAAAATGGTTCACTTTTTTGCACCAATCTCTTTCTTCTGTTTTAACCACATCTACAAAATCTATCTCTTTCCTTGATCATGTTTCGTTCCCAAGTGAACCTGTCGCCAACACTTTCTACTTTTATCAGTTGAGTTTCTCTGATGCATTCCCCAAATTGATTCATAGAAGTGTAATTTGGAAGAGAGCCCCCTAATTTATTTTCTTTGGATAGGTAAGCAGTGAAATCTCCTACTACTAGCTAGGCATCAATTATGATTTTACTAACTGCAATAAGGTCTTTTCATAGGCTCTTCCGAAGGGTTCTACATGGCTTAGCATAGATACAAGACAACAAAAACGATAAATTACTACTTGGTTGGAACACCTTAATGTGGATGCACTGAGTGATGGAATAATGATATTGAATAGTGATTTCATCCTCATTTCGCAAAATCTATATCCCCCTAGCATAACCCGCATCTTCAAGTCGTATCTAATTGTTAAAACCCAATTTACTCACTATCGTTTCTGCCTTTGTATCACTGATTCTAGTTTTCAGAATTATTAGAATATCCACCTCTTTACTTTTAAAACATCTTTGATTCTTTTGAGGAAATGTTTAGAGGCAACCCTCTACAATTCCATGATATAATATTCATGATTAAAGGGCAAAAAAGGGAATTAATGCACCTCTTATTACTGTGAGTGTGGAGCATCCGTCTATGACATTCCCTCATTACCATCTTCACCATCAGCCTCAATTGACTCATGCCATTGGTCATTAATCTCCTGCCCTTCTTGATTAAAGTCAAGAGCTCTATTGCATGTTGTTGAATCAGGAGGTTGTGATGAAGGAAAAATCAAATGATTTTGGCATTCTTAGGCATCTTGTGTTTCTATCTGGTGGATTTTTAATGTGGTCATTTCCAGGTGATCAGCACGGAGGTGTTGGGCTTGGGAAATTCAGCTGGGTCTGTCATTTGTTATTAAGTTAGCATTCAAATCCAATGGGCTCATCTTTGATAAATGATCTAATGACAAAGTTTGGACCTTGTGGATACACTGTGTTTTTTGCCACTCTCTTTTGTCTTTCCCTAAGGTGAATGGGCTTCCGTTGGGCTTGGGCTTGTATTAAAAACAGGGGTATTCAAAGTAGGCTTTTTTTTGTTTTAATATTGTTGACACTAGGCTTTCCTTTTTGCTTCTCCTTTCTTGTCATGCCGTCACTCTCCTTTCTCGAACGTCAGGTCTTCGCAACTTGACTCTTTCCACCGTTGTGTTGTTATTGGTGCACTGGGCTAGTGTGTTTAGGTCCACTTTTAAAGCTTTCCCTATCATGTTACCAAGCTCCCAAATACATTCGTCAGCGTAAATGTGTATCGGCAATATAGGAACTCTAACCCATATTGCAACTTTTTTTACTTTGTTGCAATAGGGATTGAAATTTGGACGCTATCTTTAGACAGCTAGGTAGTGGCCTTGTACCAACCAAGGGCCACCGAAGAGGATTCTTCTTAGTTTCACCTCTGTAGTTCTAAAAACAAAATAGTTGTTCTCATTCAAAAAAAAAAAACAAACAAACAAAATAGTTGTTTGGCAAGTCAATAAGCTCAAAATGATCTGATTTTAGTAACTATGGCATTCTGTTCTTCAGTGTTCTCATATTTGTTTCGCGGCCTAGGACTATTAGAATAAGAGCATCCTTCCAAGGCCAGCACAGTTGCTTCAATCTCTCATCATTTATGTCCAGCTTTGGAAGACTTCTATCATCTTCTTCCATTCTTCTGTCAACTCCAGAGCAGTGGCTTCTTCTTCTTCTAACCATTCCTTCATAAGTTCCGCAAAATCCTGGTCTTCAGCCTTATCTGCCTCCTTGCCCATAAGTTTAGCTTTATAGGAAATCTGAATTTTTTCAAGACCTCTTGGCCCATTTTGGGGTTGACCCTTATCTCCCTCGCTCTATTAATTCAAGCTCTGATTTTTCTCGGTGTTTACGTTCTCTGGTCCCCGTTTTTGCGGATCAGAATCTCTCATCAAAACATCTTCATTCATCTTCTTAGTGGGTCGTTTGAGTAGATCATTCTCCTCAGTTGTCTTATTCTTCTTTTCAATAGTCGGAGCTCCATCTCTGGCAAGTTGACCGGTGCACACACCCTTTTTCTCTTTTTCTTGGCATATTTGTGCTATGATTCCTTTTTTTATTTATTTATTTTTTTTAATAATTTTGACATATATAAACATTTTCCACACTTTCCTGGAATCGCTACTGGCTATACTTGCCATCCATGACCAATGATTTTTAATTTAAGTCAAGGATGAAGAAAATGCTAAATAAAAACAAAGAATACTGGGAATTATACTTGCCGCTTGGAAACCCAACCATAAATGTAATGCAATTGATTTGTTCTTAATATTTTGACAAAGGTTAAGTTTTGCCATAGTGATGCTAAGGAAGATTAGTGCTAAAACTTAAATAAAAAAAAAAAAGAAAAATTACTTTGACAATATGTGAATTGAAAGTCGAGTTATTCTACGGCAAGAGGACGGAAAGGGGTGAGGATTTTCTGTCAAAAAGAGGGCAGTTTTATAATGACAAGATGACATTTTGATCCTAAACTAAGAAATATATAATTATCACAAAATTCTTAACTTATACATATGCCATATAGGATGTCACATAGAATGCCACGCCATGCTGATTAATATGATATATTCGTCTGGTTCCTAATATATGACATAATTGTTAAAATGATTTTAGTTCTAAATATAAGACTTATTTATCATATTTATTAATTTTTTCTAAATTATCCCTGTGGATACTCCCTCAACTATAAGCAAGTAGAAGAGGGAGAGAGAATATTAAGAAAAGTGATTATGGTGTTTTACGAAAAACATGTCAAATTTCTTATAATTAATTAACTTACCTAACTTTCTTAATCTAATCAAATTAGTTAAATAACTTTTATATTAAGGACCGGAGGAGTAGTAATTTTCGTAAGTGACTTAACGGTAAAATTAATGGACTAATGATGAGGGGTTTAATATCTAAAATTAAAACATGAAGGAGATTTTTTTTTTTTGCCAAAAAACATGAAGGAGATTAAATTTAAACTTTGAAACATGAGAGAGATTATATACAATTAACCAAAATTCAAAAAAGTTTTGTAGATTTTAGCCTAAGATTTAGGCATATACATACACTTTAACCATTTATAATTCCTCTTATTCTTTTATCAGAAAAGCCGACGCCATACCCCCATCATTGTATTGACAACTGGAAATAAGCAAACTGGTCACTTGACTAGTCCAAACAATTCCATAAATCAAAGAATTTTGACTTAGAGTGACCTGGAGTAACCCAGATAAAACTGGGGGCGACACTGTTAACCCATATGGTTTAATGGGTTAACCTTGTTGCTTTTTTTTTTTTTTAAAGAAACAATTTAAAAGTTGTTTTAATGCAAAAAAATTGACATTATTTTCTTTTTATTTTTTTATTTTTAAGTTTTTATTTTAATTTTAATAAGAAACATTATCATTTTCACTCAATTTAAATATAGCTTTGTATTTTGTTAGATACTTTGATTCTAAATTTGATTTCTCATTTTTTTTATTGTTTTATCAATTTTATATTAATAAAATAATTATTAAAAATGAATTATATGTTTATATTTGCAAGTTTTGAGCTTAATTTAATTATTTAATTACATGAAAATATTTTTAAAAAAAGAGAATTTAGTCTATAAAAATTTGTAATAATTTAACAAGAAAAATATAATAAATAACCCTAAAAAATGTTAAAGGACAAATTAGGATGGGAAAATTTGAAAATCTCAAATCAGAGCATTTTAAAATTTTAAGATGGTGTGAAATGACAATATTGCCCTTGTACTCCCTTATGACTATTTTTGTTTGGTTATTGATTACTCTATTTTTGTTATTGACTATTTTTGTTTTCAAAGTTTGGATGACTACTTTTGTATAGGCATTAACTACATAAGAGTAGTAAATAAAAAAAAAGTAGTCACTATATTTACAACAACATTGAATATATTTTTTGAATTTTTAAAGCAAAAGAAATTAATAAGAAAATTAGAGTAGTCAGTAATTAAATAAGAGTCGTCACCAAATTTTTTTAAAAAGTAATTAATAAGAAAATTAGAGTAGTCAGTAACTAAATAAGAGTCGTCACTGAATTTTTAAAAATAAAAGTAGTCAATTGTGCTATTAGAATAGTCAATAGCTAAACAAAAGTAAACACTGAATTTCTAGAAATAAATACAGTCAATAACTAAATAAGAGTAATTAATACTTAAGCAACAATAGTGATCAAAGTTTTAGTGATTGGTCATTGAAGTTCCGGTGACATGCTATTGGGGCTCTGGGGACTAGTAACCGGAGGGGTCATTGGTGCTAGGGCTTTGGCGACCTGTTGAGGTGCCAATCTTAAAAAAAGGAAAAAAAAAAAAAATTAATGAAGGGCATTTACATTATTTCACAAGATTTAAATATTTTAAAATAAAATAAAGGGTTTGATTTGCGATTTTGATATTTACCCACACTAATTTATCATTTAGCAATTTTCAGGATATTTTATTGTTTTTTTCTAATTAAATTTAAAATTTTAAAAATATATGTACAAAAAAAAAAAGAACATGCGTGTTGACGGGTTATGCCCCCAGCTCGTCTCGTGGCGACCTTGAGCTGGTTAAATGTCAGCCTATTAAGACCCACATGGGTTCAAACCCGTGACAGCTTGGTCTATCGTGTTACCAGCTCTATATGACACCATGATGTCAATTTGTTCCGGTCAAAAAAAAAAATGATGTCAATTTGTCAAAAGAATTGTAAAGAAAATTTAGAAAAAACTATAAGTATATAATTAATTTGTTAGTGATTTTTCTTTACCAGCTAATTTGTTAGTGATTTAAGATAAAAGGAATTGAGAGTATATATTATTTTGTTAGTGATTTAAGATAAAAAAAATTGTAAGTATATGATTATTTTGTTAATGATTTAAAATATTAAATTGATATTTATGAAAATTTAAAATATGACGCGTTGAATCTTGACCGTTTGAAATGCCCGTCCGATTTTTAACGTAGATGAAAATAGGGAGCTTAGGTTCGGCCATCACAAAAACAAAATCAAATGATATGCAACCTCAAATCTATTTAAGCTTCATTTTGCTCGTATCTATATCTGTCTTGCGTGATTTCTGGTTTCTCCCTCGCCAGTACTGCATTTCTCCCAATCAAAGAAACTGAAGATGGGATGGAGGAGATTTAGGAGGCTCACCTTAGTCCAAGGTCATCGTTGCATGGGGCATTGAGCTCTCTTCCTTCCTATTCTTCTTCTTCAAGGTCCATTGATTCTTCTCGTCTTCAAAATCGCTCCCTCACTTTGTTCTTTTCTATCTCAGATTCGGCTGATTCGCGAAAATGAGAGTGTGGAAGGCGGAGGTTGAGTTAATATAACTTACTAGACCATTTTGCCCTCCTCTTTTTTCTTGCTGAAAACTTCATTCCTCTATTTAATACTCTGTTAGCCCTTAATATATGATTTAATTGTTGGGTTGATTTTGATCCTAAATATAAGATATATTTATCATATTTATCAGTTTTTTTTTCTAAATTACCTCTATTGATACTCACTTAAGCATAATCAAGTAAAAGAGGGAGGAATGATATTAAAAAAGATGATTATGGTGTTTTAAGAAAAATATGTCACATTTTTTATAATTGACTAACTTACCTAATTTTTTTAATTTAATTAAATTAGTTAAATATGTTTTGTATTAAACACTGGAGGTGTGTGTCAGCAAATAATTTCTAGAAATAATCCACAAACTCTAGAAGAATCTTTTCTCAATTAACTTCTTTAACGATAGAATTATTTTTTAAAATTTTTGGACTGAAAGTTCTCTTTTAGCTTTTTTTTTAAATATTTCAAAAAAAGGTTTTAATTTCAGAAAATAGTTTTAAAATTATATGTAACTCTGTTGATGAAATAAACTTCTCTTATTTCTTAAAATAATTATCTATAATTTTTTGTTGACTTTTTTAAGCCTTCAAACATTTTTAATAATTAAAGAAGCTTTTTGATGATTTCACATTAAAGCATAATTTCATTTTTAAGACCAATTGGTCGGAAATGTTCGTTTCTTACTAATTCCCCCTTCCCCCGGACTCAGTTTCCATGCTAAGCATCTCCACAACGATGGCAAGAGGCTCCACGCCGGTGTATGCCGCCGACATCCTGACGAAGAAATTGAGGGGTACAGCGCCGCCGATGTCGGAGCTTCTCTTCCTTGGCTCACTGGAGCGATATTCCATTGGTCATATTACTTTAAGAATCAGACCTTTTCATTTCTTTAATTTGTAGCATTTCTTCATAAACTATTCCTAACAAAGTATAAGAAAAGGATATTACAGCCCGGGTAACACCGTATCTGAATAAAGAGGCTCTGAAAGGTAGGAATCATTAAAGAGGAAGAGCAGCTTCGATGGGAAACTATTGAGTTTTCGCAGTTATTAAAAAATTCAATCTCATCATGTCGGACCTTTTTTTTTTTTTTTGGGAGTTGGATTGCTTGTATAGAATTGAAAATCATTAACTAAAGCAATAATTTAATAAGCCGAGCTGACAATCGCCAACAGCATCTATAATTTGGCGGATTGCAGTTCCTAAAAGTCAACTCTATCGGGTCTTCCTCAGTGGATATGGCCAGGAAGCTTATCTTTGAGAGTTGGATTGCTTGTATAGAATTGAAAATCATTAATTAAAGCAATAATTTAATAAGCCGAGCTGACAATCGCCAACAGCATCTATAATTTGGTGGATTGCAGTTCCTGAAAGTCAACTCTATCGGGTCTTCCTCAGTGGATATGGCCAGGAAGCTTATTTTTGAGAGTTGGATTGCTTGTATAGAATTCAAAATCATTAATTAAGGCAATAATTTAATAAGCCGAGCTGACAATTGCCAACAGCATCTATAATTTGGCGGATTGCAGTTCCTGAATGTTAACTCTATCGGGTCTTCCTCAGTGGATATGGCCAGGAAGCTTATGCATGCGATTCAGTACGATAACTGTGGCGGTGGTCCGGCTAGTTTGAAGGTTAATTTTTCTTTTCCTTTCTTTTTGACTTGGACTTCTGTGTCTGTGACTTGTACTGCTATATGATACTTTCATTTTGGGGAGTTTCTATTGTATCGCAGAGTTGAAAAGGTTTTCTGTGAATGAATCCAGGAGGCGGAAGGGGAGTGAGAGTAGTATGAGACCTGATTATTTTTGTGCATGTATTTTTTGTTATCATATCTATTCATTTGCTTTCCACCAAAAAAAAAAAAGAAAAGGAAAAAAAAAAGAAAAGAAAATCTATTTATTTGCTGAGAATTTTAACGCGACATTAAAGCCTTATGTGACCAATTAGTTTGGAATTTAATCTATCCGCCTCCCTACTGCCACTGAAAAAAAACTTCACTTTAATATATATTTAATCACAGGGTATGGTTGGAGTGTGCTTTGTTCATGATTCAAATACCAGATAATTTTTATTTGAGGGGGGTAGTTGGATAAATAAATTAAATCATTCTTGCATCTTAACTTTTGGCATGAAGTGGTCTCTCTCCTTTTTCCCTATTGCTTTCTCAATTTGAGTTTGCCTTAGAAGATTGCATTGTTATTTTATATTTGTGAGCAGCATGTTGAGGTTCCAGTTCCCACTCCGAAGAAAGATGAAGTTTTGCTGAAAGTGGAAGCCACTGGAGTGAACCCTATTGATTGGAAGATTCAGAAGGGCTTGCTTCGGCCCATATTCCCGGGAAAGCTTCCTCATATACCTGGTAAAATTAATTTTTTTTTAGTGCTCTTTGAAAAGTTCTAGAGCATTCTTTGTACTTAACTTTCAAAATATGTGATTGACTTATATAGTTTGATCCTTACAATTCATGGTTTTATCTACATTTTCTTTCTGATATATGTTATGTCTCTCCACACACGTGTGTGTGTGTGTGTGTCATATTTATTGAACTGAGGAGGACTTCAGAGTCCCTTATTTGACAGTGACTTACTATCCATGTTGAATAGGTAACCAATAGCTGCCAATTGTTTAAAATTTAGGCAATGGGCACCAGGCTCTCCAAAAGCACCAAACATGGTATCTGTTGCTTAATCAGGAAATTGGAATTGGTTATGATGCAGGAACTTCTTACTTCAGCATTTAAAATAATTTATCTATGGTCCTGTTCCAGGTCTCTGAACAAAATCTTCGAGGTTGGGATTAAGGACTAGGGGTTCTAGGTGATATTGAAGATTATTTGAACAAGTTTATTTTTTGTTTTCATACTTTTTTGGGATGCGTTCCAAAAGCAGCAGGTTCAGTTTGATCAGAAAGTCAGAGGAAAAGAGAGAGAGCAGAGGTTCAGGCGTGGAAGATTAGCTTAGGTACAACACATGTCTTTGCAGCTTGGGCTAATTTGAAACTAAACTCCGGATGCACTGATCTGGTTAAGGCCACTGTGATATAAGCCTGTCACTACTGGATTAAATAAAAGCCCTAATGAGTAATTGCTGGGATCGCTCAGTGGATCATACGAAGCATAGCTATGGAGATGGGCAAGTTGACATATCACTCGTACAATTCATAATATATAAGCATAAGCATAAAAGTTTTATTTAATGACCTGGTTTTTTGAAAAGACTGCATCATCTTCCTATATTCTATGTATCTTAATGTTTATTCTCAAAACATTCTACAACCTATAAAAGATGCTAATTTATAAAACTCAAACTATTCATATACAACAAAAAGAGCATATAGAAAGAACTTTGATGATCTCATCAAATTGGGGTTTCTAGTCACTATTTTTTCCCCCAAAAGCTTTTCTGTGTTTGAATTGTGTACTTGCAATGTTAGTGGAAAAAATATGTCAATTTCTTGTCATGCTTGTCCAACTCACCATTACGCCTGAAAATTGATGTCTTCGTGCATCATTGTGACAACTGTTCACGCATACCAAAGTAAAATACCCAGGAACTCTGGGTGACTACATGCTGTGCTTCATAGTTCTAATTATGCTTTGCTGGCGACAGTGGACTTATTCTACTTTGGATGTATAATTGATTTATTAATAGTGCGTTTTTATTTTGTATTCATGTCATACTGATAGTTCCTCTCGTATTATGGCATAAGTGATGCTAAATTTCTTTGTTGGAAACAGGTACTGATATAGCAGGAGAGATAGTACAGGTTGGATCACAAGTCAAAGATTTCAAAGTTGGTGATAAAGTTGTTGCTAAACTTTCTCATGAGGTAATCTTCTTTCTAATCTCTTTGATATTCTGCTAGTTGTGGGTTAAAATTGTGAGCTTGCGTAGATATTTGACTGGTGACAAAAAAGAAAATGGATAGCAGATGGGTTTTTTCTGAGATAGATTTATTCTGCATGCTTTGGTCTGTAAACCGAGAAAGTTATAGGTAATAATTGTGCTTTATATCCAACATCCTTATGTGCTGATGCATTCATCTTACTCCCTTGAATGTGGGAGCATTTTGTGTCCATAATCTAGAAGAATATAAGATGGATTGTTTTCCTGAGTTTACAATCCGTGTAACAGTTTATAGTCTCCAAGCATACATCTTGTCCAATTTATTTTTCAGCGCATCCTAATTATGTACAATTTTTTCTTTGGTCTGTTTGTTCATGTTGAATGGCAGCATGGAGGTGGATTAGCTAACTTTGCTGTGTCTTCTGAGAGGTTAACAGTTGCCAGACCATCTGAGATCTCAGCTGCTGAAGGTTCGGCTTTACCTCTGCCTGGCCTCACGGCTCATCACGTCCTCACAGAGATTGCTGGAGTCAAGCTTGATGGAACTGGTGAACAAAAGAACATTTTAGTAACTGCAGCCTCAGGTGGTGTTGGTCACTTTGCAGTTCAACTAGCAAAGCTAGGGAACACACATGTAACGGCCACCTGTGGTGCTCGTAACATCGACTTTGTCAAGAGCTTAGGTGCTGATGAGATTCTTGACTATAGGACTCCAGAAGGGGCAGCTTTAAGGAGTCCATCTGGTCGAAAATACGATGCCGTGATACATTGTGCCACTGGAATTCCATGGTCAACCTTTGAGCCTCAATTGGCTGAACAGGGGAAGGTAGTAGATTTAACGCCTGGCATAAGTGCACTGATGACTTATGCTCTGAAGAAACTTACATTCTCTAAGAAGCAACTTGTACCATTCTTCTTCGTAACGGCCAAAAAACAGAACCTGAATTATCTGGTTCAGTTGGTTGAAGATGGGAGGCTTAGGATTGTCATTGACTCCCGTTTTCCTTTGAGCAAAGCCGAAGATGCTTGGGCTAGAAGTATTGATGGCCATGCCACTGGAAAAATCATTGTCGAGTGATAGAAAAAGATTGCTTGAACTGCTGGATGCTGCTATTTTTCTGTAAAAAGGTTTGTGTATGACCTTCGATGTTTGTATTTGTGTGTTAAGAAAAGTAAATAAATAAATGTTTGTGTTTTAAGGAGTTGAATTATGGAATTAGGCATATGATGCAACGTGATGGTTTCAAACCTTATTTCCTTCGAACTTCGGCTGGCCTGAATATTGTTAAAATGAGACTGGGTCAACCTTTTGAGACTGAACTGTGATGGATTCAGACGGCTTGGAAATGTTTGGACTGAGGAAAATAGATGAGAAAAGAAGATATGAAACATGTTATTTTTCAATTGAAAACCTAAAAATAATTTTCCCCTTACCGTCTTCCTTTAAATATCTCTATTTTCCACCCTCCTTGTGATAGTGGACAGAGACGAAACAGAGTATTTTCATTCACAAAACGAAATGGTGGACGGTACATCAATATATTTCCCCCAATCATCACACGTCAGCAACGTATCTCTTTCTCTCTCTATAACAAACCCATAACTAACCCCATAGCAAAGGTTTACCTGAATGCTGAAATAACCGTCCCCGTATTATTATTTATCATTTACTATTTATCATATATCAAATACTCCCCCCCTACGGAAGATCCTTGTCCACAAGGATGGTGGGAGCTTGTGGTGCAGCCGTGGAAAAATGCGGAAACTGGTGTTGGATAGTAGTAATATCCTCCCAGGTGGCATCTTCTGGTTGAGTCAGCTTCCAGCGAATTAAGACCTGTGTAACCGGAAGATTGTGGCGCTTAATGATCTTCCTACCAAGAATCTCCTCCGGTTCTAGTAAAAAATGACCCTGGTCGTCAATAGGGGGCAAAGTGGGAGATAAGTGACCCACAGAACCAACATGCTTCTTGAGGAGAGAAACGTGGAAAACGGGATGAACTCTTGTTTCTGCTGGCAGCTCCAGTTCATAAGCAACAGCCCCTACGCGTTTGAGGATCTTGAAGGGTCCAAAATAGCGGGCCGCAAGCTTATGTAGAGAAGAATTATTGAGCAGGTTCCTTCGAAAGGGGTGAAGCTTCAAATAGACCATATCTCCCACTGCAAATTGGCGTTCGGTCCTATGCTTATTAGCATAGCTGATCATGCGATGTTGGGCCTTTAATAGGTGCTGTTTCAGGACCTGCAGAACCAATTCCCGGGACATACAAGCCCTGTCAACCAAGTCGTTTGGTGAATCTCCTGATATGTATGGTAGATGAATAGGGGGAGCTACCCCATAGACAGCTTCAAACGGAGTCATTCCTGTTGCCGAATGGTAAGTCGTGTTGTACCATAGTTCTGCCAAAGGCAACCATTTAACCCATTGTGTAGGGTAGTCACCGGTCATGCATCTAAGATAGCATTCTAAACAACGATTCAGGACTTCCGTCTGGCCGTCCGTCTGTGGATGATAAGCAGAAGAATACTTGAGCTGAACACCATACAACCTGAATAACTCCTTCCAGAATTTACCACAAAAAATGGGGTCACGGTCAGAGACAATTGACTTTGGAAAACCATGCAGTTTGACCACATTATCCATGAAGATCTGAGCCACATCTACTGCAGAAAAAGGATGCTTAAGAGCCATGAAATGGGCTGCCTTAGACAACCGATCAACCACCACCAGAATAGTTGTTTTACCATGAGATCTGGGCAGACCACTAATAAAGTCCATCGACAACTCAGACCAAACATGTTGAGGAATCGGAAGAGGTTGAATTAAACCAGGAGAAGCAACCAATTCAGGCTTGAACCTCTGACAAGTAACACATGCTCTGACAAAATTCCTCACGTCCTTTTCCATACCCTTCCAATAAAATATGGAAGCCAAACGTTGAAAAGTAGGGTGCATACCAGAGTGCCCCCCAATACCATCTGCATGGAAATGAGATAATAGATCGCTCCGAAGACTTCGGTCAGCCCCCACAACCAGCTTGCCATTCCGTTTAAGAAGATGGTGATGCCAATTGAATTTAGGGTGAGACAGCGGGTTCAGTTCCAGCTCCTTAATAAGCCTCTGTAGTTCTTCATCTACCAGCCAAGAGTTGCGTACCCTGTCGTATAAGGAAGAGACAGGTGTTGACATTGAAAGAGCACAGCTGACTCCCTCAGAACGGCGAGACAGAGCGTCTGCAGCAGCGTTGTCGCTCCCTTTGCGATGCACAATAACATAGTCTAACCCCCATAATTTGTGAAGCCATTTACATTGCTCTTGACTCAAATCCCGCTGCTCCAACAAATGCTTCAAAGGTAAGTGATCAGTTTTTATAATAAATTTCCGACCCCATAAATATGACCTCCACTGTTTGACAGCGAATACAATGGCTAGAAGTTCCCTTTCATAAGCAGATAAAGGTTTCTTCTTCGGTGGAAGAGCTTTACTAGCGAAGGCTAGAGGGTGACCATTTTGGGATAGTACTGCCCCTAACCCATGACCCGACGCATCAGTCTCAATAACAAAGGTGTCTTGAAAATTTGGCAGAGCCAGAACCGGAGGGGAGATCATAGCATTTTTCAAGGTAGTGAAGGCCGTGTGAGCTTCAGAAGTCCAATTAAATTGCCTGTCTTTTTTCAGCAACTCAGTTAGAGGCCGTGCCAGCTCCCCATAACTTTTCACAAACCGCCTATAGTAGCCTGTGAGGCCCAAGAACCCTCTCAACTCACGAATAGACTCAGGAACCTTCCATGATGAAATGGCCTCCAACTTCTTCGGGTCTGCCTGCACCCCTTGGTTTGAAATAATATGGCCCAGGTAATCAATTTGTCGAGCTGCGAACGTGCACTTGGAGCCTTTAGCAAAGAGCCGCTGCTGTTGTAGAGTTTTCAGAGTAGTCTCCAAGTGGACTAGATGAGCAGGCCAGTCCTTGCTATAGACTAGGATATCATCGAAAAACACCAGTATGAATTTTCGAAGGAAAGCCTTGAAAACATGGTTCATCAATCCCTGGAACGTAGCTGGGGCATTTGTAAGCCCAAAAGGCATGACCATAAATTCATATAGGCCCTCATGAGTCCGAAAGGCAGTTTTAGCTATGTCATCTTCCTTCATTCGAATCTGGTGGTACCCCGCACGCAGATCCAATTTAGAGAAGTAAGTAGCGCCAGTCAACTCATCAATCAGCTCTTCGATTACAGGAATTGGAAACCTGTTCTTGATTGTCGCCGCATTTAATCTTCTGTAGTCTACACAAAATCGCCAGGACCCATCCTTTTTCTGCACCAACACGACAGGAGCTGCGAAAGAACTGCTACTTTCCCTAATGACCCCATGAGATAACATTTGTTGTACCTGTGACTCTATCTCAGTTTTCTGCAGAGGCCCGTAACGATAAGGTCTGCAATTGATCGGTTTATTGTCAACCAGAGGGATGGAGTGATCAAATAGCCGAGTTGGGGGCAATTCGCGTGGCTCGTCAAACACATGGCTATACCGTTCCAGCAATTGTTGCAGTTCCACGTGTTGTGTCTTAGAGAGTTCAGTATTGGAATCCAAGTCCAGTAACAGGTGCGATGGGACATGAATCAAGTAAACATGCTGAGCAACCAAGAAAGCTTTAGGGGACCCGAGTTCTTCAGATGCAAGATTGCCATGATAGCCTACCCCATGTAACTCAACGAGTTGACCATCACGACGAAATTCAAAAAGTTTCAACTCCATATCCATAGAGAATTTACCCAACGTTCTCAGCCATTGTGTACCCAGGATAGCATCGTAGCCCCCAACCTTCATAACTAGGAAGTCATCGCAGAAGTCAAACCCTCCCATTTCCCATAACAGCGAGGGGCAGTGTTTGGTGACATTGACCTTACGCGTATCAGCCACTGTCAAGGTGACCACAGGGCGTTCATGAACTTTCAGATTTAGGCGTTTAGCCACGGCCGCGTCAATGACATTGTGAGTACTGCCAGTATCGACCAAAATAACCACTGACTGATTTTTAATGCGCCCGAGAAGTTTCAAGGTGACCGTATTCTCCTTACCTTCAATAGCGTTGATAGTTCCCGTGGACTCAGATGGCACCACCTCTAACGCATCTTCAAAATGGTCGTCATCTTCATCGACCAAAAGAGAAAACAAATGCGCTTCTTTGCATTTATGGCTCGGTGTATATTTCTCTGCACACCAGTAGCACAAACCTTTCTGTCTCCGCTCGTCCATCTCCTTCTTAGTCAAATGTTTGGTCGGTCTCGATACAGAGGAGGCCATAGATGAGGTGGGGGACGCTGATGGGAGTGAAGACTTAAAGGTTGCTGGATTGTGTAATGTGGACTTATCAGCCGCCGACCCGTCAACAACTGGCCCAAGCTTAGAGCCCACTAGCCCAGAGAACTTGCTTAGATCAGCCCTACCAGTGAACAATGATCGACGGTTCGGGGCATTATCATGGAGAGCCTGAATCGTTGCCTCCTGCATTCTGGCAGAGCAAGTAGCGTTCGCCAAGGACGTCGGCGCAACATTTAGAACGAGCTTCTGGATGTCCGGTCGCAGACCTCCGATAAAAAGGTCAATGGCCACCTCCTCCGGTATGTCCACTTCACACAACAATTCGTCAAACTTCTTCTCATAATCCATCACAAGGCCTGTACCCTGTTGCAGCAGTTTGAGGGCGATTAACGGTTTTTCCTCCTTGACATCGGAGAACTTAGCTTCCATGTGCTTGAAATATTCGTCCCAGCTAACTTCCGAAAAAGCTCTATGTCGCATAAAGGTCTGGTGCCAGCGAAGGGCATGCCCTTCCAGATGAATAGAAAGGAGGCGAATACGCTGATCAGTGGGGGTTCCGTCGACTTCGAAAAACTGACGGCAGCGGTAGGCCCATCCCTTGAAGTCATCACCATCGAATCGAGGAAACTCAACTCGGCTATGTTTCGTTGGAATGACATATGAGGATGATGGTTGCTGGAACAACTCGTTCAAGGAACCAAATGTGGGCATGCGCGGCGGTGTAGCAGAGTGAGAGGCCCCATCCCCCACCGACGGTCGTTTCCCATGCTCAGAGAGGGAACAGAGTTTGGAATTAATTTCCTTAAAGTAATGCTCGAACCTGACGGAAGAGTTTTTAAGGTCATTACGGAGATCAGAAAGGTCCTGAGCGTGTTTGTC